GGGGTTCCACCCACATCGCCCGCGGAGGGCGGTGGCGAGCAACCCGCTCTGATTCTTAGTGGTAAACACCAACCTCCGACTACAGCGACCACCCACGCGGACCAAACACAGGCCGAATGACCCAAACCCCGAACACAGATCCCGGGTCAGGGCCCAGAAGCAGCCCAAGTCCACGAGGACGAGAATCGGCTTATTTTTGGAGGTTTTCCAACAGAGTTTGGTTGAAGCTGCTCTCCGAAGAAAGACGTCCGGTGAAGCAAAGGGACCGGCCACAGCCACCACCCCCTCCCCTCGCCCGCCCTCCCTCCCTCCGGACACAAGTGCGTCAGAGCCGTTAGCAGTGCGGCGGCAGGTGCGGACTCTTACCTGAGTCGGTGTTCGCGGTGCCCGGGAGCCATTTTACACCGTGTACCGTCCCACAAATCACACCGGTCCCTCCGCCGGGTCTCCCGGCAGACTAACGCTCTGCGCTCGCGACTACGGAGGTTTCCTCTAAGCACTGGAAACACCGGAGCACCGGCTCCGCGCGCTCAGCCTGTGGCGAACAAAGCGGGCGGCTCCGGCGGTGCTCCAGCCGGGAACGACGAACTCTGCGTCTGTCTCTGCCGCCAGCTGCGGACCTGCGCAGTCAAGCCGCAGAGAGCACCACTCTTTCCCAACCTTTCCAAAATAAAGCGGAGATGACGTCACATCATTCAATAACTGCAGCGGACGACTCCCGGGGGTCCAGGCCCCTCAGCCCGAGTTCAGTATGTAGCCCACTGAGCTATGATACGTAATATTTTAATGAACAAAAATCCCTTGTTCACATGCTGTGAAAAATGTCTGAACATTTTATTTACTGCCACATTTAAACTACAGAAGATGAGCAGAGTGTATTCAGCTTTCCAAAAACCTTCAAAATAAAAGCTGTGTAAGACTTTAAACCCCCGACATTTTTGTTGGCTTTTTCTGATTTTTCAAGACTTGAATAAACAGATCTGACCAATCATAGCACTGCGTTTGGCAACAAGCATCGTCGTAGCATCAGTACTAAATACACAGTGATGTGAAAAAGTAAAATAATCCTGTTTTCCCTCAGACTCAAAGCTAGGTGCCTCCCAGGGTCAGGCGGCTCTGTGAAATGATTTCTATGACATCCGGAAGTACGTCTGAAAGCTTGGACTCCGGGATCAAACCAGGAAATTTTCCTCCTGCTGCCTTTTTCTGAGAATCCAGTCTTCACCTAGAAACATCAGAACCAGCTCAATGCCACTTTCTGTCCACTCCATTTCTTTCACAGCATGATTTTTCAGGAATCATTTTTCGGTATTTTCAAATGAGTTAAAACCCTACACGACGTGTGCGGAACCAAAAACATCTGAATTTCAAGTCGTTTATTCGTTACATACTGAGTGTATAAAGGCCTTTAGGGTGGGTGTTTAGTCTGTTTAAACCCAACTCTGGTTGGTTTTCTTTTCAGTGTGGTTCGTTGGTGCAGGTGTGAACACAGTAATCATACTTGGGTGCGGACCAAAACAACAGAGACGCTTTTGGAGAAGGTGTTCTCGATATGGTTCCAAACCAACTCCAGAGAGGTTTGTTAATGGTGTGAACGGGATCAGACCTCAATCTGGACCAACAGCCCAGCTACTGTAGCCATGTCTGCATTGTATTCTCAATGTGGGAAGGTACTATGAATGTGCACAGGTCTGTACGGGCTGGCAGCTAGCTGGTTAACTTAAATTTTCAGTGTTCTCACACACCACATTCCTCCTGTGTTTAGTTTTACTGCTCCTGTCCCAGACACATGTGACCAGTGGGCAGACTGAACATTCCCACGTTGTTTGTGGTGATGCATTTTGGTTCGCTTGGAGTTCACTTCAATTTTTCTCTGTGTGAAAACTAACCAAACCACTGGAAAAACTAACCAACATGGTAAGTGTCCTTACCATGTTGGTTTTGGGGGAGTACAGATTTCAAACATGCCTTATTAAAGTCCCCAGCAACAACATGGACGCCCTCTGGATGTAAACAATGATAACTATGGCTACTGTTAGCTCGCAGGTAGATAAAAGGGCCCGCACTGAATGGACATGGCCTCCAAGTCTGGTGAGCAGTGACTTTTTATAATTCTGTATGCACTATGGCCCCCCTCCCTTACCAGAGTTTTGTTGCAGTCCTGGCTCAGGTGCAGGGAGAGGAGTGCCGTCTGTGTTGCTTGCTGTTGCAGACAATAGCCCGTGGAGCACCTGCTGGTCTCACAATCTCTGAATACTGTGTGTCTAATCTAAAGTAAAGTCCAGGTTCAGGCTTAGGCTGATATCTATCGATTCCTGACGAGTGAAAGTGATCAGTGCATAAAAAACACAAAAACGTGCACAGTAGTTGGGAGCGCTGTGACACCGCGTACACGTCGGTACGCACCACCAGCTTGGCAACTCGATGAGTTTACTACCTCATTAACCGATCTGGACCAGAATAAACAACTACATGTGTGTAAACACCGTTAGACTCCGACATCCACCACAAATGAAACATCATTTATAATTTTGACTTTTTTTAAAAGAACAGGTCGGCTGAGTCTGTGCAGGGCATGATTTGTGGACGGGTCACCAGGTGAGTTCTCACTGTTTTGTGGGCTGTAGATCAAGGCTGGACTCAAATGAGGCGCTGTGACTGAATTCAAGCTTTATTTACAAGCAGAGTCAGAAACAGCAAACAGTCATGGAGAAACCCGTAGCAGTCAGTGAGTGTGTCAAGGAGAGGCCGGACAGTCCTGATCCTCAAGGATCGCCTGAAGGGACCGGCCCTATCCAATTACTGGCCAATAACCTGCATCACTACCACATGGAAGCTCCAGTCAAGCATCACAGTGACTAAGATGAACAGGGATATTGCTTACATGAGTGGGACACAGAAAGGAATCAACAGGAGCACCCGAGAGGCAAAACACCAGCTACTGGAAGAAAGAGCAGTTCCCCAAGACTGACCAACCTGTGCACTGCTTGGATTGATTACAAGAAAGCCTATGACTCAGTGCCCCACACCTGGATCCTGGAATGCCTAGAACTATACAAGATCATCAGGACCCTGAGAGCCTTTATCAGAAACTCAGTGGGGATGTGGCGAACAATACTGGATACTTCAAACACACAGTAAAAGTCATCATCAAGTGTGGGCCCTACGAAGGAGATGCTCTGTTCCCACTGCTGTTCCAGGTTGAACCCCCTCAGTGAGATCATCGACACAACTGGCCATGAAGCCCGACTACGGAATGAAGCACTCGTCAGTCGCCACCTCTACATGGATGACATCAAGCTGTATGCCAAGAGTGAACGAGACATCGATTCGCTGATCCACACCACTAGGATCTACAGCAAGGACATCAGAATGTCTTTCGGACTGGAGAAGTGCAGTCAAACAAAGAAAGCCCCAACAATCATATGACCCCTTTTGAGCAAGCACTTTGGCAACAGTGAGAAGGAAGATAAGTAGTGGCTCGATGAGCCAGGCTGGTTAAAGCAGAAACAGAGTTGGTGCAGAGAAGTCGACTGACCCTAACCCTGAAATCTGGCAAGGATTGGATGCTTGAGCTGGTCCTTAAATATCGGAGGTGACTCCAGCTTGATGAGGCCTGACTGCAGAGAGAGAACCCACCCACGCCCGGAGCGAGGAGAAACCACACCTGGCCTGGACTCAAAGGTGGGGAAAAAGAGACTCCAAGGGTCCCTCCTGTCTCCTACTTCTAACCTCTGTTCCTTGACCTCAGTGACATTTTCAGTATTGGAAACGTGGGTAGGAGAATCGCTAAAAACTTAAGAAAAGAGAAGAACTGATACTTATACTTGTCTCACCGCTGTGAGAGACGAGTATATGTCCACCAGATGTCCACAATGTTGAAACTACAATTTATAGATGATGGACTACAAAATGTCCACTTTACTTTGCATCTATATTTTCTAAACCCGGTGTTAGAAGAGACTTCTCTCTGCTGAACTGTGACAAATAAAAGTGTTAGTGTGTCAGATTAATGGGGCCCTAACCCTGAATGTTGTAAACTAGAAAGCCAAGCACACATACATGCACGTGTCACGGTAACGTGGGATGCCTCGTGATCAGATGGTAAATGGCGTTCCTGTTCTTCTGCACATCGTCCAGGTCAGCTGTTCACACAGACTTCAGTTTGTAATGATGCAGCTCTCCTGTGATGAATCCCGAGCTCCACCTGAGTCCTAATCCTCAGACCCTCAGACCTTTGCTCACTGGTTTCTGTCACAAGAGTTAAATCCAAAGCAGACTGATTCTCCTGCAGCCTCCTCTCATGTATCTGCCTTGCTGTTTTCAGAGACAAACACTTGAACCTGAGCTCACACTGGATTATTTTGGTTAGCGGGCCTGCAGCGCCCTCCCTCGCCCTCCCTTGCCCCCCCTCGCCCTCCCTCCTCAGGATTGTTGAGCCACTAATTAACATTCTCTCAGCCGATTGTTGGTTTTTACTGTGAACTGCTAATTGTTAGATCACCCTGTGATGTCACAATAATTTACTTCATTTAATAAATCTGTCCAATATAAGATAAAAAATCAAATCTTAGTTTGTTATATGTTCCTGCTGTGATCCAGTGGAGCATCTTTCCTGTTTAGGAATTCTGTGAGTGCAGTAAAATTCCTCCATCATCACTGATCCCAGTTGACCTGAACATGAATCCTAAATCCTGTAACACAACAAAGGACATTACTAATGAACACTCATTATTCAAACACACTTTGATCAGTTACTATAGATCATAATGATGAGCTCATACAGGAACAACTCCACAGGAAGTCGTTTTTATTACAGCAGGGTGGCGTTCAGAGTTCAGCTGTGAGTTTGCCCTTTGACCTGGGGGATGGTGTCAGGGTTCAGCCTCGTTTGCAGGGAACCAGAGCTGCATGGAGCATGGTTGCAGTGACTGCTGAGGCCGTTGTGACGTGCATATTTAAAATGAAACAAGGAAGGAAGCTGTGCAGGTGCACGAACAAGCGAAGAGGTGAATTTGATGATTTGGCGACTGAAATGGATGCGATTTGTTCGTTGCCTCTGTCAGCTTCATGCAGATATGCTGTTTTTTTCCACAGAGAGAGGATTATGGGTAATTTTTTCTCTTATGGTTAAAATGTTATTTGTGAAGAAGTTCATGAAGTCAT